ACCAATTGTAAGCATACGGGTAAGCCTATGAGAGTTCATACAGGGTTAATATTACATATATCTGCCAATCAGTGAGTCAGATAAGATAATGTTAAACAGTGCTTTTTCATACAGATTTGTTCCTTCATGTAGGATGTTCCTGACTGCTAAACCTACTGAGCTTTCAGTAGCTATGAACTAACACTAACAATAGGCAAATATAACATTTGCATGAACTGAGAGTATTTTGCAATTTTATGAATTGATCGTACTTTGCACATTTGTATTAAAATACTTGTATACACTGAGTATAATGCGTGAAATATAAACTTATACGATGCCGCAGCATGATTTTGTTCTTAGCTTCAGGTACTGAGCACCCGAGACAACATTTATTTTGACTGTACATTCAGTATTACTTTTTATCAGTAAGAATTATGTTATAAGTTAAAATTTACTTTAAGATACTCAATATTACATTTTTAAAAACAGGCCATTTCAGGGCTGGAATTAAATACTGTAATTTAGTTTTTTTCTTACAATGTATTTTAATGAAATAGATGTTCATGTTTTAGAATATAGAACATAAAAGTAACTCACACGCTAAAACATTGGCAAAGCAAAGAAGGATAAAACAGATATTGCAACAGATTTGGGATTAAGCAAAAAATATGAGTTTTCAGTGGACATATGCAGGATATATATACAAATGCCTCTCCTAGATGCATTTGACATCTTTAAAAAGCACATTCCTTATTCCACAAATATTAGTACTTCGGTACAGATAGATCAATTATTATTATTGTTATAATACTGACAAACAAAAATAAATATATTGCAAAAAAAAATGCTCAGAGCAGATACTATTTTTGTAAATATCAATAAAGCAATAAATAGTTCACAAAAACAAAAAAAGATCCAAATCTATAACAACCACCCAAGATGAAAAGTAGAGCTGGTAACCACAGTAGGCATTATAGATCATGAAGTGAATGTGAAACGAATGTGGTCATTAAGAGAATGCATTGCAAAGTGAATGTACAGTGAGTATGGACGTCGGAAGAGCGTGTGGCAAAGCTGCGGACCTGGTGGCAACCATCCCTTCGAAGGCCAAGTTCAGCAAAGATGCCCCGCTTTTAAAGGGAACCATCCAGATGATATTGGATGTCACCAATAAAAGCTTTAATTAAAAAACAAAATAGACAAATCAACACTCCATATAAAACAATATATCAGGAGCCATAGGCCCTTAAAGTTAGGGAGTTACATTACACCAAGAAAAGAGGGAGCTCAGGAGAAACATGATTAAGATAGAGAATCCTAGGGAGGGGGATTCCCTACTGGTAACGAGAAACGAAATAGGGTACAAACAAGAACATAAAGTACAATCTCTGAACATAGGTATTAAAACTTAACTTTTAATATTATAATAAACAAAGTGAAAAACACCACCAAAAACATGTGTATTAAAAATAAGTGTACTAATAAAAACAACACCTGTCTGAGACTAATAGCAAGATAACCAACATAGCATGGGGATTATAGTGTGCGTGGTAGCTACAGTTTCAGATAATATCTAGGAAAAAGAATGCCCACTTCTATCTGGTGAAAAAAAGTCTCAGCAGGGTTGAGTCAGCACATGTCTGAGACTAGCAACAAGTAGAAGCACAATCTGGTAGGGGGATTATTGTCTTAACTGTGCATAGAGACCACAGTTCAAGACAATGTTAAGTAAGGGATATTCCTTTTGGAAAGTTTGAAGAGAAGGATTGTAAACTTTTGTCTGCTGTAAGGAGCCACAACCATCTGCTGTAAAGAGCCACAACCATGTAGAATGAGAACTTTTTGGGGACTTACAGCAAGTAAAGGGAAATGTCTGTGCAAAACGTGGAAGTCCCAATACAGATATAATGTAGAGAGGGGAGTAGCCCTCTAACGAAAAAAAGGAAAGTCTCAGCAAGGTGAAAATACGTGTATCATGGATCTCTAACAGGAACCCGAAATGCTCATATGATAGTGTCTAAGGAGTACAGGATATGTACGGGGGATAATGCTAGTCAAATAGTGTCTAAGGGGTGCAGAATATGCACGGTAGATTATTATTATTATTTTATTATTTATGTAGCGTCATCAAATTCCGTAGCACTGTACCATGGACTAACATACACGTAATTCTAACCCGACAACTGGACGTACAGGAACAGAGGGGTTGACGACCCTCTTCCATGATCTTACATTCTAGAGGGAGTGGGGTATAGTGACACAGAGGGTAAAAGTAGGGGTACGAAGTAGGTTGTTAAAAAAGTATTATTGAGGGCTTAGTAGGTAATTTTTGACAGTTGCAGGAGAGGAGTTATGGAGGGTGGGGGATGAAAACCTGCTAACAGTTTAATTGATATGCTTTCTTGAAGAAGTGAGCTTTCAATGATTTTTCGAATGAGTGGAGACTGGGTGAAATTCTTATGGAGAAGGGAAGGGAGTTCCACAGAAGAGGTGCAGCCCTGGAAAAGTCTTGGAGGCGAGCGTTAGAGGTGGGAGTACGGACAGAGGATATACGTAGGTCTTTGGCAGAGCGTAGGGGCCTCGACAGGACATACTTGTGTATTATGGAGGATAGGAAGGTTGGAACAGCATTATGTAGGGACTTGTAAGCAAGCACCAGAATTTTAAATTGAGCCCTATATCTAGCTGGAAGCCAATGCAAGGACTAACAGTTTGGGGAGGCGTGAGAGGTGTGGGCGGACAGGAAAATGAGCCTCGCTGCCGCATTCATTATAGATTGCAGCACAATCTGGGAACACATAAGACCACTGAGTATTGCAGTAGTCCAGGCAAAAGAGAACAAGAGCATGGACCAGCACCTTAGCCACATCCGGAGTTAAATAGGGGCGGATGTGCGCTATGTTTTTGAGATGGAAGCGACAGGATTTGATGATTGATTGGACATGAGGGGTGAAGGAGAGGTTGGAGTAAAAAAGAACACCCAGGAAGCGAGCCTGCGAGGTAAAGGTGATGGTAGCGCCGTTGACTTGGAGAGAGACAGACACAGGAGTAGTAACACTTGAGGGAGGGAAGACCAGAAGTTCTGTTTTGGACAGGTTGAGTTTAAGGAAGTGAGCAGACATCCATTTGGAAATCGAAGAGAGGCTGTCAGAGACACGAGCCAAGATGGGCAGAGAGAGATCAGGAGAGGACAGGTAGATTTGATTGTCATCCACATAGAAATGATAACGGAAGCCAAAGGAGCTGATGAGTTTCCAAGGGAGGCAATGTAGATAAAGAACAGTAGGGGACCAAGGACAGAACCTTGGGAGACGCCGACAGAGAGTGGTTGGGGGGAAGAGGAAGAGTCAGAGAAAGAAGCACTGAAAGAGCGTTGGGAGAGGTAGGAGGAGCACCAGGAGAGAACAGTATCCCATAGACCAAAATTATGGAGAATGAGAAGAAGATGTTGATGATCAACAGTGTCAAAGGCAGCAGAAAGATCAAGGTGAATTAGGATAGAGTAATGGTCGCAAGATTAAGCAGCAATTAAAACGTTAGCTACTTTGGTCACAGCCGTTTCGCCAGAATGACCAGCGCGGAATCCAGACTGAAATGGGTCAAGCAGAGAGTTGGTTTTGAGAAAGTCAGTCAGTCTGGTGTACACAACTCTCTCGAGGATCTTGGAGGCAAATGGCAGTAGCGAGATAGGACGGTAGTTGGATGGGCAGTTGGGGTCAAGGCTGGGCTTTTTCAGAATTGGGGTTACAGTTCATGTTTGAAGGGTGAGTGAAATGTGCGAGAGGAAAGGGAGAGATTGAAAATTTTAGTGATGGGAAGAGCAAGAGAAGGAGACATAGTGCGGATGAGATATGAAGGAATAGGATCGAGGGAACAGGTGGTGGGGCGTGAGGACCGGAGCAGAGCAGAAACCTCTTATAGATTCATCTCATGGTTATGAGGTAAAAGTATAAGGCAATGAATATACAGGATTACAGGATGCTGTAGGGAGATAGGGGAGGAATCCAATAAGGTGAATTGAAGAGAGGTAAATAGCTGAAATTGCTATGGTGTGATCCCTAATATAAGGTGCCCTTTTAACTGTGCCTTCCAGGGCACACCTTAAGAAATGTCAAATTTTCTCACTGTCAGGAGGTAAAACCGCTCTCCAAAACCCTGCTGAAGTGCGCTGGAATAGAGATCTAACCTAGGTGTCTGCGCAAATCTCGGTGTGGCAAATAGCCATCCTAGGTATAAGTCTAATAAAATAGGGAACCGCTGCTTCTAGCCTAACCGCTCTAATGGTAGTGGCGTCTGGTAACAAGGCTAGGTGCAAGACATTAGACAATCAAAGAACCACTGCTCCTAACTAAATCGCTCATGTTGTAGCGGTGACTGGTATCTAAGCTAGGTGCAAGTTGGTAATTAAGTGAAGAAAGCCACTCATGTTAAGTAGATAGAGGTTAAACACTGTTGGTGCAGTGGCTGTGAATAGCGCTAGTCACAGCCCCTGTTTACCTTAGGGATCATACCATAGCCATTTCATCTATTTTTATACTATCTTATTTCTATCTTTTAGTATGTGCTTTATCCCATGGCAATGCTATTCATTATTAAAAATGCATCAGCTTATAGTCCTCATTTTATTTCTCCATAAGGTTACAATGTCCCCAATTCTGAGATTCAACAGGTCTCCTTTTAAGAAGACGTTCATAGTCTCCAACCTATCTCAATGGGTGAATCATGTATATTACATGGAGCCTCAATTGTTTAAAATTGTGACCTGCCTTACTGACGTGTCTGGCCACTGGGGTATAGATAATCCTTTCAGTCAAGGCTTTCAGTCAAGGCATAATGTCACTTTTGAGTTCATGTGTTCTTACCTTAATGGTTCTAGTAGTCTCACTAATATAGATCTTATCAAGGACATTTGAGCATATAGACAACATAGTTAGAGTTGCATGTAAAATAGTCTTTAATGCCAAATTTATTACCAGACAGAGGGTGGTAAAAGCATTTTCTTTTAATTATACTGTTACAGTGTGCACAGCTTAAAGGACCACTATAGTGCCAGGAAAACATACTCGTTTTCCTGGCACTATAGTGCCCTGAGGGTGCCCCCACCCTCAGGGACCCCCTCCCGCCCGGCTCTGGAAGGGGAAAGGGGTAAAAACTTACCTTTTTCCAGCGCTGGGCGGAGAGCTCTCCTCCTCCTCTCCGCCTCCGTTACGCCCCGCCGGCTGAATGCGCACGCGCGGCAAGAGCTGCGCGCGCATTCAGCCGGTCTCATAGGAAAGCATTTACAATACTTTCCTATGGACGCTGGCGTGCTCTCACTGTGATTTTCACAGTGAGAAGCACGCAAGCGCCTCTAGTAGCTGTCAATGAGACAGCCACTAGAGGATTAGGGGGAAGGCTTATATAATTATAGCAGTTTCTCTGAAACTGCTATAATTATGAAAAAATGGGTTAACCCTAGAAGGACCAGGCACCCAGACCACTTCATTAAGCTGAAGTGGTCTGGGTGCCTAGAGTGGTCCTTTAAGCAGGAGTAGATAAAACTCTTGACTTGTTCTTAAGAGTACAAATGTCAGACTTGATCAAAATGTCCCTAAGATTTCTCTTCTTTCTGTAAGAAAAAAAAAGGAGGGGAACCCTGAATTTAGGTGGAAAATCCAACACGTCTGACAAAAATGACCAGTGTTTAAGAATGATTCTCTTAATTTGTGTGTTAGCTACTTTGGCTCTCCAGTTCTGCATATCCAGTAGGGATTGATTTATGGCCTGTTCCATCCACAATACCTGACTATCTGATATATTTGGGTACCCCTTATCTAATCATATGTCTGCCATTGAAGTAAAGCATAATGTTATGCCCACTTCCACAGAAACTATCCTCTTGGTCCTGAGATATAGGCTATATGGTAGATCCTTTTACAAATGGGTGGGTGAAAAGATACAAAGTGTAGTTGGTTATTCCTATCTGTAGCTGTTCTGTAAATTATGGTATTAATTCCTCTCACCCAGGGTGCGGGGCCTGACTGCCATGTCAAGTGGATGCACCATGGACAAGCTCCACAAATAATTAGAAATACCTCTGACAAGTGCGATACCCCAACTGTGGATTTATGCTGAGCTGATGCCTGGTGGTGTCTAGATGTCTCTGGGCACTTTGTTGACGCAATCCAAAGCTTGTAGCAGTGGTGGTCTGATGTCCTCAATCTGTGGTCTAGTGCGGGACCAGATGGTGACCTCTTTGGCCGCACCCTGCAGGGCTGATATGTGAGCGGACTCTGTTCCCCCCCTTTTTGAGCCGTGAGGGTTATCCCAATACCCACTACTACAGCACTTGATACTTACATCAAATCTGGGAGCTTCCACATCTTACAGTATGTGACAGAACCATCTGTCTGTTTATTGTGGTGGATTCATCTGTTTCTGCCCCGTTCGTGTAAATGGCTGTTTCCTATAGCCCAGCCATACGAATGACTGTTTTTCCCAAACAAAACTACCGAACGGATGGCCACCCAGGAGAGAAGTGTGCTGCTGGTTAACCTATTGATCCCAATTAGAACGTTGTGGTTAACCGCAGACACTTCTCAATTAAACCGAATTCAGGGTGGTCGTCGTTCGTATGTCAACCACGAGGCAGCTGCCATTTTAAAACACGCGAAAGCCCAGCGGTGTTCGGCTCTATTTTCATGGAACTAAAAACGGACACTTTTTCTGCTGACCACCGCTGAAACAACGGAACGCCTGGCTGCCTCCACGAAAGCGTACGAACACTGGCCATTCGGGAGTTTTGAAACACACGAAAGGACTTAACCGAGATAGCCTTCCCATGGAGTCAATCGCATACCGAAAGACTGTAAGAACTTTGACTCCATGACGACTGAACTATGTGTGTGGGATCTGAGCGCTATTCGCTAATAATATGCACTCAGATCCAGGCTATCTGGGGATATGTGATGCGAATGGGAAATGTTCGGTTATTTTAAAGTTATGTATTTTTATGTATTTTCTAGTATTGTATTTAAGATGGCGATTTGTCTTTGTCCTGGAGATAATTGAATTACTTCTCAATTATCTCCAGGGCAGAGGGGAGGAAACCCATATTGTATTGTAGGTAAAAGCTGTGACTGTATGTCTGGAATGTCTTCATGTCCATCTGTAATTCCAGTCTCCCATTTGGTCCCCTAGGGGAGTGTCCACCAAGTGGGAGACCTGCATAAATACGGGCAGGTAGCCCACAGTAAAGCCAGATCCTGTTTGACCCTCAATGCGGAGCTTCTGTCTCGTTATTGGGGGGATTTCTTCTTTGCGTTTAGAGACTGCTGGATAGAACCGAAAGCCGCTTGGTGGATATCGTTGTTCGGCGGCTAGCAGCAGTTCGTGGATTTCCGTTCGGGAGTTTGGAGCCTTTCATGGATCCCGGTCGGGAGATTACCACTTCCCCTGGTTATGGTTCGTGTATCATAATTGATGCGAACGGATTACTGAATTTGCAAAAGGGGAAGGTGAACTAAACGGCGATTTCTCTTAAAGACACTAGAGGTGTCTTAACACATTGCTCAGTACTACAAGCCTCAAATTGGTGGCAGTTAGCACACCACCATAGACCTCAAAAATGGCTAATGCGCCGAGCTGGAGAGAAACCTTTATTGCCACTTTGATGACATCTCCACTCAATTTTGGCTTGCTGTCCACTCAAAGACACTTCAAGCATCTTCATCTATAGGGTTTGATCTGGAGGTCAATGCACCTAGCTCCCCATATCCTGAGCTAGAAACCTTGAAAGGGCCTTAGTCTGGACACTGTCTATGCATCAGTGGGGGTTATTCAAAAGAGAGACTCTCCTGGGCTGATAGCCAATCCCTCGTGTATGCAGGGGTCAATTAATGTGGTCTTGGAGATCTTTGTTGGCCCTTACGCTGATGGCTTTTGTTTCAGAGGTGCAACAAGTCGCATTCTGCTGGGCAATTATTGAGGCTTGATGCAGCAGATCCTCCCAGTCAAGGCAGAGGATGAACTTACTTATCAAGGTAACACAGTGACCCACACTATGTTGTTTTAACATGCTTAAACAGTGGCTGCTATTATTTTGCTGTTCTGTTCACAGAGGTTGTTGGAGATATCGTTCAAGCTTCAGTTAGGTGTGATGTGGTCTTCTTACTTACCTTTGACCTCACCGAGATTTAACTGTCTCTCGCTTTATATAATATAAGCTTGTATGAACATAGCTAAATCTCCTTGTCCTTGCTTGTATTATTACTACATAGCCTCTAGTATGTGTGTCTATAATTATCCCCTGTTTTCACGCTCCTACTCAGTGTCATAGATAGACATATCTATTTCACTTTAAAAAGTGCAAGTCTCTTGACATGTCCCATCTCATATATGCAATTTCTCTTGTCGCATTTACTCATGATGATGTCAGTACAAGTTTGTACTGCCAAGCTATGAACTACAAAAATAAAGAATTAAAAAAAAAAATCTCTCACTTTTATTTATCTGAAAAGGAAATAGAGTGCATGTGAAGAAAATGTTTTACTTTAATCCTAGATTTAACTAATCTTAAACTATAAACACCCCAGGTCAGGTGATTGACTCAGCCATTGCAGAATATTCCACTTCTTTGCCTTAAATTCCTGGGTTGCTTTCGCAGTATATTTGGGTCATTGTCTATCTGTAAAGTGAATTTCCATGCAATCAACTTTGCTGAATTTGTCTGAATCTGAGAAGACAATATATCCCTATACACTTCATCTGGCTGCTTCTGTCTTCTGTCACATCATCAATAAACATGCATCACGTTGCATGTATCATGTGTAGATTTGAGTGAACCCGTACTGTAAAGTTCGGGTTCGTACCGAACATTAAGATTTTTGGACCCCGTACCCGAACACGGACATTTCAGTGTATGTTCGAGTCCGGTGTTTGGTGATTTAATGACTCATTTTGAAAAGCTGCAGGCCAGCCAATCAACAAGTGTTTGACTCGTGTGCCCTTAGAAGCCATCACAGCCATGCCTACTAATGGCATGGCTGTGATTGGCCAGTGCACTATGTGACCCAGCCTCTATATAAGCTGGTTACTTAGAATTAGTAAATTATGCCCCTACTCGCTATACCGCGAGTAGGAGGCATGTCTATTAAACAGTGAGCAGCCTGTGGCTGCTTACTGTTAAAAAACAAAACAAAAAAAACATTCCCCCCTCCTGAGCCCCCACCCGCGACGTGCAAGTGGGGGATTTTAAACTAAAGGGGGACCTATTGCCCCCCCAGCCCCAACCCCTGAGTGGCGGGTGGGGGCCTTAAATATCAATAAGGGGGGGACCTATTGTCCTCCCGCCGGCCCCCACCCCTGAGCGGCGGGCAGGGGCCCTAAATATCAATAAGGGGGGACAGCTATTGTCCTCTCCCTGGCCCCCACCCCTGAGCAGTGGGTGGGAGCCCTAAATATCAATAAGGGGGGACCTATTGTCCTCCCCCTGACCCCCACCCCTGAGTGGTGCGTGGGGGCCTTAAATATCAATAAGGGGGGGACCTATTGTCCTCCCCCTGCCCCACCCCTAAGCGGCGGGTGGGGGCCCTAAATATCAATAAGAGGCGGGGGACCCATTGTCCTCCCCCCGGCCCCCACCCCTGAGCGGCGCGTGGGGGCCCTAAATATCAATAAGGGGGGGGCCTATTGTCCTCACCCAGGCCCCACCCCTGAGGAGTGGGTGGGGGCCCTAAATAAAAATTGAACCCCCCCCAGGTGACTAGGGGTCCCCAAACCCCTTGTCACCCCCCTCCCAAAAAATATAACCCCTACCTACCCCACTCATCCTAAAAATAATGAGGGGGGAACCTTATCTAAATACCTGAAAAAAATAAAAATAAACTTACCATTTGATGTCTTCTTTCTTCTAAACTCTTATTTTTTCAGCCCCAAAAAAGGCCAAATAAAAATCCATAATAACCGACACACTTGGTTAGCTTGAAATCCAGCCAATCAGAGTGCTCTGTGTCATTTTGCACAGCGTGGGAAAGTTCTTTGGAGTTTTCCAACGCTGTGTAATTTGACTCATAACTCTCTGATTGGTTACTTTCAATCCACCAATCAGAGTGTTGTTATGAGTCAAATTCCAAAGAACTTTCCCACGCTGTGTAAAATGACACAGAGCACTCTGATTGGTGGCTTTCAAGCTAACCAATCAGAGTGTTGTGACAGGTAAATGTAGAAACTTACCTGTCAGTCTCTTCATTTACCTGTCAGAGCACTCTGATTG